TGCAATGTAGGCTCAGGAACAGCCTTCCACTCCTTGCAAATCACCTTCCAGAGAGAGCTAGAGAACCGGCTAGTACATCCCCTCACTTGGCTTGGATCATTGATCAAGAGATCTCCCAAAATAGCCAAGAATCCTACCAACAATCAATCCTAAAGCCAACAGAGAAACCAACACCCTTTGCCACTATTTCAGGCCAAAGAAACACCAAGGTTTCTTCAATCAAATGGGCTACTAGGTCGATTTTGGTACAAGGAAGTAGAGGAAAGGTGAAAACCTATAAGAAGAGAGAACGGACCAGAGAGCAGAGAGAGAGTCTTTTCAAAGAAGAGGGAATCGTATATAGGAAGCCAAAACCCACGTGAAGTAGTGCCAAAAGTCAAGCCAAGAAAATATTTCAAGCAAGATCAAATCCCAGACATTGATCTCACTCCAATGGTCAAAATAAAAACCGGCCCATATGTGATAAGAGAACCACATAGGCCCAATAAAGCCCAGAATCGTAAATAGGAAGCCAAAACCCACGTGAAGTAGTGCCAAAAGTCAAGCCAAGAAAATATTTCAAGCAAGATCAAATCCCAGCCATTGAGCTCAATCCAATGGTCAAAATAAAAACCGGCCCATATGTGTTAAGAGAACCACATAGGCCCAATTAAGCCCACATTTGAGGACAGATCGAGAGCTTTCTTCCCACACATTATCTCCAAAACTACGACCCCAAAGCTATAAACGTCACTTTTTTCAGTTAACTGTCCACAGAGAGCATATTCAGGAGCCAAGTATCTGTGTGTTCCAGCAACTCTAGCAGTGAGATAAGACTGCCTTTCTCTGATTTGCTTCGCCAATCCAAATCTGTAACTCTTGCCCTCATATCTGCATCCAACAAAATATTTGCTGCCTGAATATCCCATTGATAAATTGCTGGCTTTATTCCGTAAATGCAGATAAGCCAATCCATTAGACAAATCCATAATTGTGCTTTTCCTTTATGGCCATGTCAACTGTCACTTCAAACTTCCACCTTGATTTATAGGAAAAAAATGGTCATCAAGGTTTTCATTAGGCATGTAATCATAAATAAGGTGTATCTTTATCTTGGACCAATATTTTCAGTCACAAAGCACCCTCTAAGCTGCACAAGATTCCTATGCTTCAAGTTACTAATAATCTCCACTTCATTGTAAAACTCATCATTCCCTTAGAAAACCGATTCTATAATCTTCTTAACTGCAACAACTGTCCCATCAGTTAAAGTTCCTTTATAAACCTCCCAAACCCACCTCTTCCGATGAAATTGTTGGATGGAACGTTATTGGTATTTTATACCATGTAGACACTGTAGGAGGCTTCTTTCTTGACAAAGATTCCATTTCCTCTTCCCCCGAATTAAATCTGCTTTTTCCCTCAGTTTTCTATCTCAACATATGTATATTTCCCGCAAACAAGACACCAGTGAGATCGCAACACCAGCCCCAGTAATCCAAAGACGAGCCAAATGTTGTTTACTCGTACAATCCTTATCTGAATTAATCCAAAGACCAAAGATACAAGTCAAAGCACCAGTGCTTTCAGGCCCAAAATCATCACAGTAAGTCAGATCAGTGAGGTCTGGCTTACAAGCAGAGTCCAGTACAGTGGAGGGACCAAGCTTCTTGATCCAATATTGGGTGGACTCAACGGAGGTGCATATAGTGGGAGTTATAACAAATTGCATTGGATCAAAGCAAATGGATATGAGAATTTGTGGGAGACAGAGAATTCAACTTGGATTGGAAATCTTCAAGGCAAGAAAGGAAAGTTGGCAATTTGGGCAGTTGAAAAAGTGAAGTCTCTTCGAGATGCTGTCACGCTCCTATGTCATAGAGGGAGAGGAGGGTCTGGCAGCACTAGCGTTTTCTGATGGTGGGCTCGCTGGTTAAAATTGGGATTTGGAGGGGTCTTACAATCAGAAATCGACCATGGGATTCTCAGTACATAATCAAGATCCATGGGAAATGTAGATAAAATAGTGCCTTGAAATTGGAGATGAAGAAACTGAAGAAATTAACACCAAAAGAAAAAGAAACAGAGAGGAAATCAAGAAAATTGGTTTCATTTTTATTCTATTAGTACCAAAATTGAAATTGAAATAAAGATTCTAGAATCCATAAATGGAGAAAAGGCAAAAATTCGTCCCTCTGAATCCAGATGGTCCCGAGAAGGGAAAATTTGGAGAATATGGTGGTGAATAAGATTGAAATTTGTTTTACTGTCAAATTAAGTTTGAATCTTTGAATAAAGAAGTTGCAATAACGTCTTGGAGGCTGTTGTCTTTGGACGTAGGATTGCATTAACATCTGTTACGGTCTTACGGATGAATATGACTTAACGGTAACATTCGTTTTAATTCGACTTCTATCATCGAGCATCAAACTCTATCTTGGCTGGTCTCTCCCATGCGGGCGGGCCTGCTCGTTCTTGCATTAACGATAAAGTCTGAACATCTCTACTGTAATAATCATAGAACCATTAGTTCAAATCTATACTCCAAAATTTGTAATCCTATAATAATATAGTATTGTTCTAAAAAATAGATTTAAATTTGACAAAAATTAATAGTCAATCCATGCGGGGATGGCAAAATTTCCAGTCCCGAATGAAGCTAGGAAACATAGTCCGATCCTCGTCCCAAATTCTGTGAACCGTCCTCAATGCTTTATTTTATTTTTATATTTTTCAATTTAAATTCTATTAAGAATTTAAAAATAATATTAAAACATAATTAATGAGGCAATATACATAGGATTTATAAATTCTTGTCCCACCCAGCCTATCGAAATCCCCGACAAGGCGAAAATGATAATGATTGCCCGATCCTAGTGTGTCTTGTTTTCAACCCTAATTCCATATGATTGACAAAATGGATAACCTAGCTCTAATTTATAGTCATATAGGAGTGATCGCTATTTTTGTTCACGATTACAAATACCTTGACCAAACAAAAAAAATTAAAAACGGTGAACTATATCCAATATCTGGCTCATTTCATAGTCTTGTACTCGACCTTTTTTCATGACAAAGCAACCTCAACTATTATAGGGCTTGGTCCTCTATTTGCATTAGAAAAAATATATGAGAAAAATGACCTTTAAACTCAACAAAGCGTGTACCCTAATCATTAATCAATTCTCCTAATAAACCGCTTTCTTGTTTGCATGTAAATTTATTCTATACCACACACAAAATTGTTTGGACAATCTGCATCTTCTACTTTCTCCATTCCATACAATCTTCATTTCTCCATCCCTTCTCCTCTGCAACCACATCTTCATGGGAGATCTTCCAGACTCAGAAACACACAATAATTTTTACAACATTCTTGGAATTCCAAGGACTGCGTCTCTTCCTGATATTTACCGGAAATACAAATCTCTTATTGTCAAATGGCATCCTGACAAAAATCCCACCAATAAAGCCGAAGCCGAAGCCAAGATCAGATCCATCAATGATGCCTACAGGGTACGTATGTAACTGGGATTTCATCCATTCTATGCAAGATGTTGATTTGCAATTGAGATTTGGTTTGTTAATTGCATGGAATAATTGTACGCAAACATTTTTTTTTTGTGTCAATGAATTAACTTTCAGGCTCTTAGCATTGAGAAGAAAAGACAAGCAAATTTATCAACTGGAGATGAGCCAAAAACACCCGACCATTACAAAACGGATGATGAATTCTACATTTCCAGCCCTACTCTTCTTTCGCGTGCAAGCAGCAGCACATCGCTAAGTCCAAGAAATTTGTCCAAAAATTCGAGCCGAAGAAGCAAAACTCCAACACCAGCAGATTACTATACTAATTTTCCAAGAACTCCAACCGGGGCTAGCGCTCCATCAACACCCACTGCCACTAGCCCAAGAGATTCAACTCCCCTATCAAAAATTGCGAGCAGCAGAAGCACAACCCCGATTATGTTTTCACGGTCCGGAGCCTGGAAAAAACCTCAGCCCACTGGAAAAAAACTCGAATGCACCCTGGAGGAATTGTTGTATGGATGTGTCAAGAAGATCAAGATCACAAGAGATGTCATCTCAAATCCAGGGTATGGGGAGTTTCTTCTTGAATCAACTCATTTAAATGTTTAACCAGTATCTTAGATAAACTTGTTTATTTAAATTATGTATTTAACATGACCCTTAGGTATAGGATGGATAAATTTGTTTTTCTTCAAAAGGCTTGATACATTGTGTAACGACCCGACCTTGTACCGGAGCCATTATCATATCATACGTATTGTCCGCTTTTGAAGAACTTAAGTGCCCAATTGGTATTAGGATTCAACTTAAATCTTCCATATGATGGAGGTCTTGAGTTCGAATCTTGGAGGACGCTTCAGAAAGTCGTGAAGGGTAAGATGAGCCTTGGCTATCCAAAAGCGGACAGTACGTATAATACGATAACGGTTATGGCGCAAGGTTGGGTCGTTACACATTGAACCATCTTGACCTTTCAAAATATCTTAGCTCCAGGATAAATGTGTGTGTGTGTGGGTATATCTTATTTTGCATGCCCTATTTTAAATCATAAGCTATTAAAGATGAGACTTAAATTATGTATTCAAAAATGCCCAAATGCCACTTACACATAGGGCTAATTTATTTTTTCACAAAGGCTTGGCATGCTTACAATCTTCGAAATGGGTGGTGACGATACTTGAATTCAAGTCTTCTTCCTGTTTCAACATCATATTGAACCACTAAATTCTAGACGAGATGGTTCAACAATTCTGCCCCCTCAGCCCTCTTTAAGAAATTCATTTTTTTTCCAATGTGTGTGTATGGCTGCTTATTTTTCACGATTATCTGTCATGACAGATTCATCATCAAAGAGGAAGAGACACTAACTATCAATGTAAAGCCCGGATGGAGAAAAGGAACAAAAATAACATTTGAAGGAAAGGGAGACGAGAAACCAGGCACCCTTCCAGCAGACATTATCTTTTCCATTGTTGAAAAAAAACATCCAATGTTTAAACGGAGAGGAAATGATTTGGAGATAGGAGTTGAAGTGCCTTTGGTTCAAGCTCTAACAGGTTGTACGTTTTCTGTCCCTCTACTAGGAGGAGGCCAAACGACAATTTCAGTAGATGAAATTATATATCCTGGATATGAGAAAATCATCCCTGGACAAGGCATGCCTAAATTCAAAGATGAAGCTAAGAGAGGAGACCTTCGACTCAAATTTCTTGTCGAATTTCCAACAGAATTGAGTGATGAACAACGCTCTGATGTAGTTAATATTTTACAAGAATATTCTTGATTGATCATGCATTTATTGTTATTTTTCTCTTGTAAATTTCATGTTCCTGTATTTCAGTTTTAGTTAGACAGGTAGATAAGATATAATGATCTGTTTACTTGCATCCCAGAATGCTCGAGTCTAGGAGCAAAACTGGATCCTTACTGGAGATGACTGGATTTTTTTTTCTCTAGCGAAGTAATGATTTTGAACCTTACAATAATTCATAAATGAAATGTTCCATTCCTTTGTTGGGCCTAGAGGTGTCAATTGGGCTTGGGTATCCTCGTTCAGGAGAGCCCAACATGTGGACAGGCCCAGTTCACCTTTGGAAGCAAAGGTAACGGCTCACAGTTGAAGCCCTGCCTGTATGGCCCAAAAAATGGTGGAAAAAAGGGCTCAATATTTTCACGGAATCCATGTCACGCTTTAACTATTCCCCAATTCAATTTCAAGAGAAAATGTTTAAAAATTCAAAACTCAAAGTGGTAGTATAGATCTAGATGAATGTGTCTGATTTGAGATTCATGAGTACAACTTCCCAAAGGTAGTGGTTTGTTTGAATTTTTAATTTAGCACAACATCGAAGAGAATTAATGGATTATCTAATTAAACTTCAATTCAGACAATCGATTGGTGTCAAAATGATTGAAAGAATAAGATTTTTGGCGGTTTGATTTAAACTACCGTAGAGAACTAATTCATCGATGGAGTGTAAATTTGATTTAAATGTGTGATTTATCATCAGATGCAAACTATATGTAAAGTGTTACCTGTGATGTTGATCCAATGTCTTGTGACCAGTTCTTTTGCATCTATGACCTTTGGACATTGGTCTGTTACTTTTGATATTGATCCAATTGCCTGCAACAAATTCTCTTAAATTTGTGACCTGTAGACATTGATATGTTGCCTATTCAAAATGACATGCGACTTGTGAACCATTACCTATGACCCGTAACATATGAATTGTGACATGTGAATTTGAATTTGTGATTTGTTATCAATACACAAAAACATCCTACATCTGATTTGTGACAAGTTAATATTGATCTGTGACTTATACAACATGACCTGTGAATGGTGACATGTGAATTGTAATCTATGACATGTGAACTATAGCATGCGACCTGTATTCAATGAAGTTTTATCAAACAATGAAAAATAGGGAGGACGAGATAGACCTCAACAACAACTAGAAAATTTTCAGCAGATGTTCCTTCACTGTGAGCAAAGAGACCTTGGATTCAAAGGCCCCCAATACACATGGTATAATGGAAGACACGAAGCTACCTAAATTTTTGAAAGACTAGATCGCTTCACTGCTAATGATTCCTGTGTTAACTCTTTGTACAAGCTTCGGTTACTCATGGTTCCATCACATATTCAGATCATCTCCTTTTGTGGATCCAGCTGGATGGTGATCATAAAACACCTAGAAGACCTAGACCTTTCAGGCTTGAATCAATGTGGCTTGGAGAAAGTACCGCACTGATATTCTGTTGGAACAATATAAGTTCTTACAGTAAACAACTTCAGTTCTGGAATAAAGAAAAAATTGGCAAAGTGCAAGTGAAGCTTAAAATGGCCAGATCAAAGCTCTTCCAAATCTAAGAGAAAGACCCTGTAACTATAGATCCTAATGAACTTCGACAATCTGCTGAAGAGGTACGAACCTGGATGGATAGAGAAGAACTTATGTGGAAACAAAGGTCTAGAGATGCTTGGCTTGAAGAGGGAGACTAGAACACATGTTATTTTCATGCTAAAGGTTCCCAAAGAAGAAATGCAAACTTGATCACTAAACTCGTAGATGATCAAGACTGTTGGCAAGAGGGAGAAGCATGTAACCACCTTATCATCAATTACTTCTCTGATCTGTTTTCCTCTACAAGATCCAGAAATCAGAGTGCTGTCCCAGACAAAATGGAATGGAAATTAACTCTCGATATGAACAATGAATTAATACAACCTGTTATAGCAGATGAAGTCTCCCAGGCCTTGAGGAAATGCATCCAACTAAAGCTCCAGGACCAGATGGTATGCCCCCTCTCTTTTTTCAAAGATTTTGGCCTCACATTGGCTCCTCTATTACCAATGCTGTATTGTTTGCTTTAAATACATGTGAATTTCCCCTAGATGTAAATCATACACTTGTCCCTAAGACAAAGAACCCATAGAGAGTTAAGGATTTCGGGCCTATTAGCCTCTGTAATGTCCTATATAAATTGATGTCAAAAGTTGTGGCTAATAGGATAAAAAAAGTGCTACCTTTAGTGATTTCAGAAACCCAGTTAGCTTTTATCAAAGGTAGACTAATGACAGACAATGTGCTTGTGGCCTACTAGGTGCTCCATTTCTTGAGAAGAAAGAAGAAGGGAAAGAAAGGCTATATGTTTCTTAAGCTCGACATGAACAAAGCATATGACAGAGTTGAGTGATCCTTCCTCGAAGCGGTTATGCATAAATTGGGCTTCCATGACAAGTTTGTTCAGCTTGTGATGAAATGTGTTACTATTCCCTCATTTTCAATTCTTATCAATGGATCTCCCATTGAAAGCATAACTCCCTTAAGGGGCTTGAGGCAAGGAGACCCTATTTCTCCCTACTTATTCCTTTTATGCACTAAAGGATTGATCAACCTATACAAATGAGGCAGAAAGAAATAAATATGTGGCTGGTATTCAAGTGAGTAGAAGAGCTCCACGTTTGAATCATCTCCTTTTTGCAGATGACAGCTTGATTTTCTGTGAAGCAACTAAAGGTACTACTTCTCGGTTACAATCTCTCCTAAGTGTTTATGAAGATGCATTAGGTGAACAATTAAACAGGGACAAAACCTTAATGGTATTCAGTGCAAGTGTAAGGCAGGAGCAGCAGCAAGCAATTATGGATCTATGGAATGCTCTTCAAGTGTAGTAATATTAAAAGTATCTTGGACTACTACCTATGGTTGGTAGATCAAAATCTCAAGCCTTTTCTGAAATAAAACACAAAGTTTGGCAGAAATTATTGGCAGAAATTGCAAGGATGGAAGAGCGGTATATTTTCCCAAGGAGGTAGAGAAGTTCTCCTCAAATCAGTGGCTTTATCGATCCCATCCTATGCTATGAGTTCCTTTAAACTCTCGTCCACATTATGCATTGAAATTGAAAAGATGATGGCTAGATTTTGGTAGGGCCAAAGGAAGGAAGAGAGAGATCCATTGGCACTCATGGGAAAATATGTGTAACTCAAAATCCATGGGGGGAATGGGTTTTAAAGAGCTTGAGTTTTTCAATATGGCCATGCTTGGCAAACAAGCTTCGAGACTCTTGCAACACAGGGATAGCTTGGTTCATAAAATCTACTCTACCCGTTATTTTGCTGATGGTAACTTCTTAAAAGTTTGTATAGGCGGTAATCCCTCTTATGCTTGGCGTAGACTATGGGAGGCACAAAACTTATTGATACAAGGGAGAAGATGGGTTGTGGGAAATGGTAACACTATACATATCCTGAATGATACTTGGATCCCTGAAATGCGAGATCTGAGCATGGAGTTGGGGATTGACTTACAACAAAGTCATAGACAGCAGCTTGAAGGCCAAGTATCTTCTTTGGTTGATCCAAACGTAAGGTGGTAGAACTTGACAAAACTTAGAGCTTTATTCAATCCAAAAATTTTTGAGGCTATCTTGAAGTTGCACCCAAGCCACTCGGGAAAACAGGATTTTTGGTTATGGGAACATGTAAAATCTGGAGTCTATTCTGTTAGCAGTGCATACAGGTTTTTTAGAACCTGTCTAACCCCCTGATCGTGGAAACTCCTCGAATACAGCTGAAAAAAAGAAATTTTGGGATGCTATGTGGCGACTAAATATTCCTCAAAAAGTAAAGATTTTCGCTTGGAGAGCTTGTCAATAGAGTTTGCCTTCTAAACAATATCTGATTCGAAGAAGAATCCCAACTACTTCTCAATGTTGTTTTTGTGATAACCAAGTGGAAGACCTACGCCATGCTTTGCTTCATTGCCCTTCTATCTACCAATTGCTAACCAGTCGGTTTCCAGTGCTACAGAACAAGGCTTATCAAGGAGGTTTCATAGAGGCTGCCACCGATGTAATGATTAAAGACTCAAAAAATGCACTCACTGAGTTTTTACTTATTACTTGGGGCTTTTGGTTCCCTCGAAACAAGATGATTCTTGAGTAGCTTAGCCTCCCTCCACAATTAGTAATTACAACTGCTCTAGCCAAAAAACATATTGCCAAACCTGGTTCCTCCCTCAACATTGCTTCGGATGTGCTCCCCCGAAAGCATATATTGTATGCGCCACCTCAGAATACATTAAAACTCAATACTGATAGCGCATTGTTCTTTAATTTAAACAAGGTTGGCCTTGGAATTATTTTACGTGATCACAAGGGAGAAATAATTTTGGTTGCAAGTGGTCTTGAAACCTCAACTCTGGAACCTGAACATAAAGAAGCTGCTACACTTGTTAGAGGCTTACAACTTTGCCTTAACCTTGACATATCTCATTTGTTGGTGGAGAGTGACTGTTTATTCCTTGTCAATGAAGTAAATAAATTAGTTTTAACTTCTGCCTCAGTTCGGTCCCTAGCTGCTGAAATTAAGGAATTAATGCAGAGATTCCCTCAATGTAGCCTTCACCATTGCAATAGACTTAGCAATCAGGCAGCTCACTATCTGGCACGACATGCATGATCTCTCTAAGACATAGCTCTGTGGTGGCATAGTGTTCCTTCTTTCATTGAAACGCACTATTGTATCCTTTCTTAAAGCTATTGCTTTTATGAATGAAATATTTACCCATAAAAAAAAAAAAAAACTCACTATCTGGCACGACATGCATGATCTCTCTAAGACATAGCTCTGTGGTGGCATAGTGTTCCTTCTTTCATTGAAACGCACTATTGTATCCTTTCTTAAAGCTATTGCTTTTATGAAGGAAATATTTACCCATAAAAAAAAAAAAAAGCCGGAAAATTATTCCAATCGAAGGCAGGTTGTATCTA